ATCGACTGGTGCTGACCTTGAAATATTTATTATTTGGTGGCTATACTGCTGCACTGTCTGTCACCTCAAAGCCGAGGCTGCCGCTCGAACATAGTAAGTAGGCGTGAACAATACAGGCAGTTCAGGCTTATAGCTACCGTGGTCGCACATCCAGTCGCAACTCTGCAAATCACTCGCACCAATTTTAGGAGCTCCGTTCAACATTATTACAGCAGATGAAATGCTAACCTAAATTCCGGAAGGTGTTTTCGAAAAAAACATAGTTGTAGTATTTGCTATCGTGCAGTCTAATCCCAAGGTATTTCATTCACTTCAAAATGTCGGCTTTTAAACGAACTTCATTCTGGTAACCCGTAAAAACCACACCAAAAACAGTGGCTACTTAAATAGTATGCATCTCCTCCCCATTTGTTTTTGACGCCCTTGTATATTCACATAAATTATATATAAAACATGCAAAAAATATTAATTCCTCCACGCATTTAGTAGAAACTTGCGTCTTCTTCAAATTTTATGCTCAGAGAAAGAGTATCTTTCGGTTTAAAAAAACTCGTGCAATTACAAAAGAATTTGAACCTGACTTGCAGTTAAGCTTGCATTCGGAGGGATAATTAAAATTGTTGGAAGAAAAAATGGCTGATCCTAGAATCCTATCTTTGAAATCCGCAGACGCATATTCTCTTAATATCAACTACTAAAAGGGCATAGAATAGGCGTAATGACCATATTTGTCAACGTTTGAATGTACACAAAAAGAGCTAGCGTACTGTCTTACCAAGGAGCTGTGATTCACATACCAAAATAAACCTTCGGCAAAATTTATTTGTAGGGCCTCTCTAGATATCTATCCCCCGCACAACTGCTTAACGGATTTTGCTGTCAAACATTTAATTATTGGCTAGTGAGCATAAATTAATATGTGATTGTGGCGGAAGTGATCAAAAATATTAAATTAAGCAAGATTATGTTTGTTTTAATATGCTGAAGTAGAATAAAATTCGCTCAACACAAACTTCTGTTGTGCAGGATACGAATACTAATCGAGGGTAATTCGACCTCATGTATGCCGAATTTAACTAAAATGGAAATTCGTCCTCCTATTGGTGAAATTTAACGCAAAGATTTAAGGTCAGGCTACCGAACATTTACAATTAGTTTTTTTTAACTGCGAAAATTCCTATTGAAAATTTCAGAAGATAAGTTGGCGAACATACGTTTGTTTTC